GGTGTCCTATTAGTCATGCTGGAAACCGGGGTCCAGCGTCCCTTTCAATAATTGACACCACTCAACACCTCTCCCCGTTATGCCCGGCAGATCCTGAGACAACGACATTGATTTCTTCCGGTCGGAAGGATGTACCCCTGCTCCGCCCCTGCTTTTTGCTTCTGCCCCAATTCTCCCTAAGCCTACCCTGATCTCCACAGCATTGATTGCTTCCTTTCCAAAGGATTAACTGTCAGATCTCTACCCTGAAAAAAGAAATCTGACTTTAAAAAAAAAAAAAAATCTGAGAAATAGATATACTTGGCATCATTGCAAACTACAAAAAACTGTTGGCTGAGGATCATCTCAAAATTCGCAGCCAAATACGAGGGAAAAAATAAAAGAGTTTTTTTCTTTTTTTTTGGACGGGGGGGGGGGAGAGAGGGGGGGGGGGGGGGTTTCAATCCAGACGGTTCCGGAGCCATACGGACTGAGGTCTGACCGGACGTTCGGATTGGTCCGGTGTCCTGGTATGGCGTAGCCATGGTAGATTATATGTCATAATAGTTTTTATTATAACTTCAGTTATCACATTTATCCGAACTTCAGGCCTCTAGAGAGAGTGCTGTCAATAAATCAAGGGTCTCCACCCTGATAGGTATTGTAATCAAGATATGGACGTCGGCTGAGATGGTTCTGACTGGAATTCAAGCACATGGATGTGAATCCATGTGGTTGTCGGGTCGACTAACAGGAATGGTGTCCGCTGGTATGGCTGTTGTTTCCTGTCTGAACGGGTTGGAGAAGAACGGTGCTAGCAAAGGGAAGAAAAGTTAGAAAACGGTATTGATCGGAGGTACACAACCACAGATTTTATATCTGGGGAGTGTACAGCAGCCTGGCAGCTGGAAGTATGACTTGTGTTTTGTCATTACCTGGAGCTATGACTTAAATCTCTTGTCATGAATGCATGATTTATATTTGGCAGCTGGATTCATGGAACTTCATTCTCATCTGCAGACATATGTGGCATACTGCGCAGCCACACGGGCCTGCAGGGCCCGACCAGACGGAAAAATAAGGGCCCTACAGGCCCTGTGTCGTTTCAGCCTAAAAGCCTGAAAACGAGGGCCATTTTCAGGCCCTCATAAAGTCGACCTGCCCTGAAACTCAGGCGCCAGACCAGGGTTTAGCACAGGCCATTTTTGGGCCTGTTTCAAGACAACCTTTGTTTGAACTTCAATGCCAGGGTCTGGCACGTTTCGCCATTGGCAAGAGAAGCCTCCCGGACGGGCCAGCACTATATAGAACTGGCCCGCCCTGCAGGCTGCAGGTAGTTCATAGGGACTTCCCAGGCAGTTCACGGGCGCTTCACGTGCATTCAGGAGGCAGTCTTCAGGAGTTGGCCGCAGCACTCTGCAGGAGCGCTGCAGTAGTAGTAGCTAGCGCTAGAGTAGTCTTCAGCGCTGGGCGCTGCTAGGAGGTAGAGTAGCATTGGGGGAGAGAGAGAAAGGCGGAGGCCAGGGAGACTTACCTGTGGCGCCATAACTCCAGCTTCGTCTTCCATGTACCTGCCACAAGGCGCCACCTTCACAGGTTAGTACTTGGTACAAGAGGGAGAGAGAGAGAGTTCTTCTTCTTCCTCATCTAAGTCCACCATCTCTCCCTCACCCTCTCGCC